TAATATTCTGCGTCATCTCACGCAAAATAGCGACTAAAAGCGTTTGGTTCATCACTTCTCTTTGTTATTTTACCTATAAAAGATTAGCTAGGAACCGAATACATTTTAGTATTTTACTGACCTTGAACGAGATGAGAGTCTTGTTGCTATGCTACGCTGTCTTTACTACCTGTTCGGACGTGTCGACGATAGTCGCCGCGCTGCCCGAGGAAGGTGTGATTGAATATTTACAAAAATTCGGATTCCTTTCACCTAACGACAACGAATCTTTAACGCAGATCAATGCGTCGAGTTTGCAACGTGCCCTAATGGATTTTCAGGATTTCTATAATTTACCGGTGGATGGTACTCTTAATAACGAAACCGTCGAACTAATAAATAAACCCCGATGTGGTGTAATAGAAAATGCCTTCACGACTGTTTCGCGATGGCAGAAAACGGATTTAAATTGGTATATTCAAGTACCGCCCAGTCACTATCAAGAGTTAAAAGTGCTGGCAACCGAGGTTTTTAAAATATGGAGTGATGAATCAAATTTAAATTTTTTCTTAAATTACTCAGAGCCGGATATAATGATTTTGATGTCTGACAAATATACTACCCACAGACAAAGCATAAGATGTAAAGGGAACGAATCCTGTCCTTTTGCTTTTGACGGAAGGGGTAACATATTAGGACATGCATTTTTTCCAAATCAACAACAAGAGTGCGTGGAAGTCATTTGGATAAATCCGAAGATTGGTACTACGGTTTAGAAGTGCCTGCGCCCGGAGGAAAAACGAGCTTGTTTACTGTGTTGTTCCACGAAATTGGACATACGTTGGGTTTGGCGCACAGTAACGATCGCAATGCCATTATGTACCCTTGGTATAGCTTAAATTCTAAGACATTGTCATACGACGATGTTGCAGGTCTTCAACGTTTATATGGTAAAAAAACCACAACCACCGCCCGCGTAACAACTCCGACCACAACAACATCAACTACCACTACTACCACAACTACGAAACCTCCGATAGGGAAAAACGAAACAAAAGTACCAGATTTGTGTCACGTAAATCCATCCATATTTTTGGTTACGTCTAACCATCATATGTATCTATTTTACGACAAATGGGTTTGGATAATAAGATTAGGTGATAAAGTCTACATGGAACCTAAAATGATATCAGATTATGTCCCTATTTACGCTCCTATTTCGCATATCTACCAGAGACCCAACGGACAACTTTTGGTAGTCACCGGTGATTCGTTTTATTTACTTCACTTCCCGAGTTTCACGGTAGTGGGCGACCGACAAAGCGTCCAGCGACTGGGTGTGCCTGCGGGTAAAACAGTGAACGCTATTTTTAATACGTATGGCGGTCGAACGTATATATTTTACGGTAAACGCTACTATGCAGAAATAGACGAGTGTTCTTTGAGTGCGAGTGAACACGGTTTTACTACGGAACTGTTTCCGGGTCTGCCCGACGATTTGTCGGGCGCGTTTCGATACACCAACGGACATTTGTATTTTTTCAAAGAGAAAACGTATTACGAATACAACGAATTTTTGAATAAATTAACGAGAGTCGGTGAAATAGACTTGAGTCTTGTCGCAATTAATTGTCCCACAGAGAGTGTCTTTAAACAAATTAGGGATTTGTTAAGAAAGTTATCGATCTTTCACAACAATGAATAAGAAGTTAGTTTTCTTCGACGATTTTAGAAGCTTGGATACCGATCAACTTGAATTGATTCCTGTGCAACATTTCTTGGAGCATGTGAGACCGCACGATTTGTTAAATATGTGGCATAAGTTACCAGTACGACATCGCAACAATTTTGAATTGCAAACTCATTTGCCCTGCTTTGTTCACTATAACAGACCGGACAGCAAAATGCATATCGACGGCCCGGCACCTCCCCAGAATAAATGTCATTATTGTTTGAGTGTTATAAAAGCAGTTACCGAGATCTAGGATAGATTCATTCGGGCTAGAAACATGGTTTTGTTAAGTGCTCACTTTGTTTTGTTGTCGGCTGTGGTACAAAACGTTTTCTATATACATAAACCTAAGGATGTGATTGAAGCGTTCGTTTGTTTCAAAAATCATAATAATCGGTGCATTTGGCCCGATACGTGGACGCGTATGCAACTCGCTCAGGTCAACGGAATCGACAAGCTACAAACTTTTAGCGTGACATTGTCGAATAACACTACCGCAGATAAGCCGTATTTAAATTACAAGGTACGTTTCGTTTTTGCGAACCGGAGCTACGAAGACCACGGCGAATGGCAAACGATCGCTATCAAGAATTCCAATAACACCAGCGGCGGCGTTAACGACAATTGCGGTAACGAATACAACATCTCGGCAGATCGAAAAACTATTTTAATCCCGCTATATGTAACTACGTGCGCTTGTTTGCTTCTTTTGGCAAAATGCTTATTCAAATTGACTAAATGTAAATATCTCTCTTAATTACACCGATAGTGGGGGGTTGTTGATATATAAGTACATTTGAATTTGATACCGAAGTCAGTCTGTTTGTCACAATGTGTAACAAAGTGGTCACTATCGATGAAAACACGATTTTCGAAATAAAGAATTCAGGTGTCCGTTTCATCTTCAAGAACAAGCACATAGATTTTCAAGTCCAGGATTTTTGGGATTTTTTGTTCTTTCTGGAGGACGAGGTGGGAGAAATCATGTTCTGGAACGACATAACAGTCTACATCGGGAGCAGTATCGAGGTGACCTATTCGAACGAAGAAGAGAGCTGTGAGTTGATACTGAAACGGGATCATGGCGACGAAATTATCCTCGACCGCGATGAAGTAGAAAATCTCATGGACCAGAAACACCGCTTGTACGAAGCATTACGTTGTCTACATATGAGCTAATAAATATTTACTATTGTATCTATAGTTTTTCTTTTATTAAACCGTGATTATTGAGACACTCTGTATAAGTCACTCGACTTGTTTACCGACGACCCGATCACCCGCGTCACCGCGCCACACCGTCTCCGTGCCGCACCGTCACCGCCCTCTACCGGGGGGGCCTACGACGGTCGGAGCGCGCGACATCTAGCAGCGACGGGCGGAACCGGGGCAAAACAGGACGCTACACAAGCGCGCGACATCTAGCAGCGACGGGCGGAACCGGGGCAAAACAGGACGCTACACAAGCTGGGTGGGGGGCGGAGCGCACTCTGGTAGACAGGGGGGACACTAGGACGCCACGCGCGGGGGGCCCCCGCTGCGGGGGGGTTAGGAAATTGAGGTTATGTACGGTTTCTGTTGCTTATATCGGCACTATACATCTACTTAAGACATTCATTAAGGGAATCTTTTCGGGATTGCTTTGGAAAGGTAGTCGAATGTGAAACCTGAGACTCTTTTTCGATACAGTTTACTATGTATTGTATTTAAAGCAAATTATCCTTTGTTTTCTAGTTTTTCACTTACGGCTAATATTTATCCACGAAAACGGCAATTTTCAGGTTTTTTTTTTGTACATTCCTAAGGATAGAGGTGGTAGCCTTGAATCTCTCTCGTTTCCTGGTTCATGAATTTTTCCAATGGCGTAAATAATTTTCGAGAAAATAAATGTTTTCTGAATCAACGCAGTACGTCCTAATAGTAAATGACGACATCGAGTCTAGATTGAGTGCGAAAAATGGTGATTTTCATATGGATTTTTTCAAATATCTCGAGCAGCCTATTTTGATTTACGGGTAATAATTTAAACTCGAAAAGAAAAAATTTCGGGGTCCTTCAAAAATCCTGTACATAATCGAAAAAATGCTCGAAATAAAGGTTATCGTTTTTGAGAAATAGGTTATAGCATCAGATCTCGCGGATATTTCTTTCTGAGAACTTTTTCGATAGCTTAACCTTTTTTTGAGAAATGATATTTTTCTCGAAACCCTGCAAACACGGGTCTTAAATGTTTTTAAATACTTCTCGAAAAAGATATTCTTTTCGACGCTGGCCATACCGTTGCCGAAATATAACTTTCGTTGCCAAGCGCGGATGCTTTCGAAAAATTCGATTTCATTGATTTTCCAAAAGCAACCAATTTTTTGGTAAATAATTCGCTGACTGGTAAATTATCTGACAAATGCCTTAGAGCAAAAGAAAATTGTAATTGTGTCAAATATTTAATTTCACACAGTTTTCTTAGATATCCCTTTGTGGAAAGTACATAATAACTTTAACGGAAGGTTCTATAGTATTTTACAATCTTAAAGTGGTGCAGTCCATATGGTAAAGTAGGTAAGCTTTGTAGCGAAACATTGAAAAACACTTATGGAGTACCGCAGGGTTGTGTGCTTGGCCCACTACTTTATTCCACTTACGCGCCTGGTTAACAAATTGCTAGCCTTAAAGCTCAATACTACACACAACGCATTATTACTGTACACAGGAGAAAATGAGAAGGAATAAAAAGCTATTAAATACGCACCTATACATTTTCTATAGCGAAATAGCGAAATATTTAGGTCTAATTTTGGATGAGTTTTTAAGCTGGCAATTGCACAAGTTGGTGCTATGATTCCAATTATATTATGCCTCTCATAGAACAAAGAAACTGGTATATACCGCTTTGTGTTTTCAGATATCTGATCTGGAGAACTTGTGGATGCAAATTATACAAAATTAATTTTGAAAATTTTATCATCCTCATTATTTAACACCCATCAATGTTCTATATCATTAATTAAATGGAAACTATAGTACACGAATCAAACCCAGAGCCGAACTAATATAGATTTAAATAATCCCCTTCAATCCATTACAAATTTATATTTGAAAATGGAGAACTATATTGTGAGTTGTTTTAATTCATAATTTGTTTTGTTTTATTTAGTTAGTTAAGTGAGTATTGTTATCATTATATTACTAGCATCCAGGTGCAACAAAAAAAAAATGGAAATGTGAAACTAAGGTAGAAAAAGTGTTAATTGTAAAAAAAAACTTAGATACTAAACTTACGATAAATACTTACGATTTTAGCAGACATGATTGATTTCTGATGATTTGACACGAGATTGACGATTTTTTAACGGGACGTCGCTTTATACCAGATCCTACATGGTGCGTAAGATTGGTGGCCGCACAACTGGAGAATGCGAAATCGAAATAAAATATGCGAAATGCATTTGGTAGGTTGCGCAAATTACTAGTAACTACAATGGCATCACAGGGGCCATTAAGTATTCGTCAACGCGCTCCAAAATTACGGCAGTTTTCTAAAGGATTTTACCATTCAACAATCCTAACAACAGCGCAATGAATTACAAAAAATAAAGGTTATTTGCCATTTGACACAGTCGACCAAAAACAACTTTTAACCGGTCTGCGCGATAGTAGCTTTAGATGCATTCCATACAAGTTATTACAAAGTGTTCAAATTCGAAATCGTACTAGCGAATTCCAATTGATAAAATGTTGAGTGCCTCAAGGAAACGTACTTGGTCCTATACTCTGTAAGATCTACATTAACGGGCCTTTCAAGTTAGACATCAAAGTACGGGTTGTGAGTTTTGCCGATGATACCGCAGTTATTTATATTGCAGTAAACTGGACAGAAACTTAAGCTGATCACTGAACAGGACTTTAAAACTGTATTGAGTTCGTTTGACAGTATGTTGTTGATTGTAAATTGTGAAAAAACATTTTTCTAGCCTTTACATCATATGCCAGAAATACCTTACTTATATTATATTAACGGTAACGGTAAGAAATACTGGGTAACTTAAATTAGAGCAAAACTTAGCAAAAATATGTAGACATCATCTTATGGGCAGCTCAAAATTCACATACGACGTTTCCATCCTCTCAAACCATAAACTTCATTTTTCATTATGGTCGCCAAATTGGATTAATACAGTCTAGAATAGCCTGTATTATTAGCTTTTCATTGATGTATCACAAGTTGTATTTGTGTTCCCTCAAATTCTAAATATTGAAGAAAAATTTTTGTAAGCTATGAATTATTATGTATTATGTATTTCCCGTCTGCGTAATCTCCAAAACTCTGTAATGATGAGCTCTTTCTTGGTCCATTATTCCCGATCCATCTGTCACCAAATCTTGTCAAAAGATAATCATACACCTGTGTTGTATTGTGAGGCAGGGCGCCATCTTGCTGAAACTACATGCTGTTGTAGTGGATCAAAGGTAAATCATCCAAATAGTCCTCGATTCTTCTACGATTCTCCGTTCAGATTGGCATTAAGAAAAATGAGGACTCAAAATTTTGTCTTTATAGATTCCTGCCCATACATTAAGAATAAATCGAGCTTGCGGTCGAATTTCTCGAAGTTGACAAGGGTTGTTAATGCTTTTTTAAGACGAACTTTCTTAGTTATAGTATTATATTTGCCGTAATATAAAAAAGTAGAATAACTGTAAATCATCATTATTATTATAATTATTATTAGTTTTATTACTATTACCATCATGTACAGAGTGGTGGGGATAGGAGTCTTTTAACAATTTCTCAACTGGATAAAGCAAAATCGACCTTTTTAAAAATTTCGCATAATTTCCTTGTTTATAACAATTTTTTTTTTGGTAGAAACATTATTAGGGCATTTTTTAGGGCAAATGAATTGAAGTTCTCAAATATTTTCTAAATATAACGTTTTATTTTATATTTCAAGCATAGTAAAAATATACGTAATATATATTTGCTGATATTTGTGATGAAAAAACGCCTAAGTATAAGGCATTTTTTGTTTATGTATTAGTAGGCCTTGCATATAACCGTCAATGTCAGTTAAGGATAGAGCCAAACAAGCGAATATTTCGAACGTTAAAAAATAATTTAAGGTTTCAAAAAGCTATCTCCACTGCCTCTGGTTTATCACCTAATCGTCAACGAATATTTTATAGCAATATTATCTGATATATACTGCATATACTGCATTTAACAACAACTTTAAGACCTTAATATCTAAAAAACCCAAACACAACAGAATTTCTGATTTCGTCAACAATCTACAAGCTATTAACAACTATTTAATTATCTCCACTGCCTCTGGTTTATAACCTAATCCTCAACTTATGAATTTTTATAGCAATAACCTGATTGATGAATTGGCGAGCTGTTTCGTTTTAGTTTAAACGATGAAATTGAGGTGATGAATATTATTCAAAATATAAAGTCCAATGCAATTGGAAATGACAAATTCAACATTACTTTAGTGCAGCTTTGTTGTCCTACGAATGTGCCGTATATTGTTAATAAATAATAACTATGCCTAAGATTCTGGAAAAAATTATGGTAAACCAGTTGAGAGGTTTTTTAAAGAGTTATGACATCCTGCCCGCAAAACAGTAATAAATCTGGTTCAGTGAAATGTCTTGCTTATTTTGCTACAAATTTGGTTCAGACGGGTCTGACATATCAGGATCTTGTCAACCTGACGAGGACGACGAGGACCAATATCACTCACAAGTACTTTTTCAAAAATAATCGAAACTCTTTTGAATGATAGAGTGACATGTTTTCAACAAATTTACGTTACTTTTGACCCGTTTCAGTACAGATTTACATCTGATACTGAATGCCACTATGGGCTTAGTGAAGTTAATATCAAACAGTTTTGATCAGGGAAGGGTGGTTTTGGCTGAATTGTAAGAAATGCCTTCGACGTTGTCGATCATGGTTTATCGATAAAATGGAACAAATGAACTTAGAGGGATTACGTTAAACCGAATTAGAACATACTTAACCAACCGCAGACAATACGAAACTCTAGAAGACTGCAATTGCAGAGTTATAGTTAATAATTGTGGGGCCCCCAGGGTTCCGTCCTTGGATTGTATAAGTTGTACGTCAAAATCTGCGCTTGGCTTGATTGGAAGCTTATTAATATACATTATTGTCAGAAGTATTGGCAAATATAGCAAATAATGACTCAAAAAAGGTACTACAACTGGTTATTAAATAACAAATTAAAAATAAACATTCAAAAAACTAATTATTTAAACAGAAAAAAAAATTTTACATTAAGATATATGATTTTACTTTGGAAATTGTTGATAAAATTAAATATTTAGGGCTTATACGTGAAGAACAGCTAAATTTTAATACTCACATTAGTCATATAACGAACAAAATAGTTCCCTTAGTTGCATCGTTATCTTATTGCATGTAATAAAACAAACTTTAATAAAATAAAAATAATACAAAATAAAATCCTTAAGACTCTATTTAATTTAAATTAAAAATGCACACTGAAACTCTATACTATTCACTTCAAATTAATCCAATTGAAATTATATTAAAATTTGAACAATCTAAAATTATGTTTAAAATAATACAGAACAAAATTAAAAGCATCACCAAAATAACCCATATCAATGAAATACACTCACACAACTTAAGAAGTCACACTGACATAGAGTTACGGAATGCCAAAACAAATAAAGAGTTGCAAAATCCAATAAGTGCAGTCTCAAATACATACAAACACTTGAATAACGTTGTGAAAAATTTTTGTTAAAATTTTAAATTTTATTAAATTATATTCACATCTAGATAGTATTGTAGTGTATTACAATATAATCATAATAAGTATATTTGGTGTCTGACTGAATAAAGGATTATTTAAAAAGAGATAAATAAATAAATAGATCAAGCCCAAGTACCGTGCGTGCAATTTATCTTGATAACATTTTCATTGGCTGTAACTTTTTTGTTTTTAGAGATATCAGGGCAAACAAAAAAAAAATGATAAAAACGTACTATCAATTTTCGGACATATAACCCTACATCATATTTTTTGAATTTAACACCCTGTATATTATATATGTGTTTAATAGAATCTTATTCCTATTATAATGATGTAACACACGTGACTGACTGAATAATTATTTACAAAAAACTCTCTAAAGTAAAAAATTCTTTAACTATTCTAAATATTGCTGTTTGTGACCTTCATTTTCCTGAACGTATTCCTCATACACTGTGTGATATCTTGCAATTAGTAATGATTGCCTCTGAAATCCTTTACCGAAGTTCCAATACATCCATAGTTCCGCCGTTCCCTAACCAACCCCTGGGAAATTTTTAACTTGCACAATATTGTGAGGAGGAGCACCATCTTGCTGCCAGAAAATAAGTGCTGATATATTTAAGGCAGAATCTTCTATATATGGTTCTATTTGATGCTCTAAGAGTATAAATATCGGACCCACTATATGTCCTGTATCCTCTGACTTTGTTCTGCACTTAGTTTTTGAGTTTAACGAAATTTAAATGCATTATGTTTATATCCTTTCAAAACTGAGTTGGTTGATCCCCCAGAAATACCTGTCTCTTCAGTAATAGAGGAAACTGGATGTGCTTCATAGAAACCTAATATGTTTGCTTTATTTCCTTCATTTAAAGCATTATGATTCCGGTATACCTTTTTAGCATTTAATACGTTACCCTTTGCTGCAAATTTCCTTGCCAGTCTTGGAAATATTTTTTGAAGAAGCTCGGCGCTGTGGATAAAATCTAGTATACTGACGACGAGCTGCGGTTGCACTTTTATTATTCAGAAAGTATACTTGAAGCATATCACTCTCTTCACAGTTGCTAATTTTAACAATAATGACTTGGACAATAATTCAACCATCAACGTTGTTTAATAATATGTCAAACATAAACATATTTTTGCTAACCAGGGTACTCCTTGGAATTATATAAAAAAATTCATATTTTTGCCGATTTGCCATAAACAAGTGGACGAAAATATAATAATATTATATATAATATATATAATATATAGCGTGTTCCATTTAAAAAATATTATTTGGCTTATATGTCAGAAAAATGATAGTGTTTTGTTTTATACGTCTACTAACCCTACGTTTTGTTTTTTTGTTAACCTCAAAATCTGTAAAAATAAAACAGTTGAACGCACGGTACCTACAGGTCCAACAAAACCTGAATATTAAAAAAATGCATATACTGGGACAGTAAATATCGGCCCGCGATCTATTTTAGAAATGCCTAATTTGTCCCTCGATCGCGCGACCGCCACATCAAGAAGCGGTAAGACGAGTTCTTTAAGAGACGCCCTTGATATTTACAGCTTCCTGGAGAATAACAACTCCTGCGTGTCGGTG